TATAAGTCAAAGACCATTTAGTTTCACACCAGGTGTTAAGACCCATCTTCGAGATGTCATTAATCTTAAGAACTTAACAACAGGCTTTAATGGGAAGGGGCTCACTCTCTGCAGTAAGAAACGGAGGATCTTTCCACAGTGCTGGACAGTCACAGACAGTGACTCTCCGATCCTCCTTTACCTTACGGGCAGTGTCAAGCACAGCACAATTCATCATTTTTGTACAAAGTTGTTTGCAACTCAGTAGTCTGCAATTATGGTATATCCCAGGCATGGAACTTCTGGAAGGTCATTAAATTCCTTCATTCCAGCCTGAACTTGCTATTGCTGCCTTGAAGCAATGCAGGTAAATTTTAACATAAAGAAAATCAACAAGTAAGTGTGAGCTTTTCACGGTTTTGCATCATTTGCTGCAAGGCCCCAAGCCTGGTCACTCAAGTAGGCCTCCCTGCCTAGCACACAAGTGCCAAGGAGGATGCATGGACAGAAAAGGAAATCTCCGTCATCAGCAAACTCAGAGAAATAGACTGTTTTAGAAGCAGCTGAAAGCAATTTCTCCATCCCCTTTCCCTTTTAACTGCTTTATTCTCATTCCTTCCAATCTAAAAATTCATATCCCTGCACCCTCTGCGAGAAAAACTGTTCTTTCCTGTCCTGTTCTTTCCTCAGGGCTTGCCACACATTATTGCCTGAAATATTCATGTCACCTTTGTCCACACCATTTTTGGCTGTGTGGCTTCAAATTCCTTTCTGAAGTCCCATTTCAGCTGCTTTAATTGTTTTTCTGCTACTGCTTCACCAAAGTTCTTCTTTATCAAGAGCAAAAGCCTTCTCTAATCCAATGAAAAAAAAATTATCCTCTCACAGATTACTTGATTTGCAGACCTCCTTGAAAATTTCTCTGGTGAAGTACAGCTAGTGGTATAGCAAGTTTAAGGAATCTGTTGCTTTCATAGATCCAGCCACTTGAAATCCATGAACAACTGAATCAAAACTACAAAGCTGGGTTCTTTCATATGCTCTTTTCTGAGCTCCTGGAGTTGTACAGTCCTCATTTCATGTTTTGTTAACACTCAGAAACCTTCTCCAGTAGTTTCTCATTCAATGATCTCTTTTTCATTACTCATTTTCCACGAATCTTCTATTAATCTCTTTCTCTGTTCCAGCACCCATTATTGTTTTTTTACCATTCCAACTGCTGTCATTTTGCAACTCTATAGCCTTTATCTTTTCCCTTCTATTCTTCTTAACATAACTTTAACATTGGCCTCTCATGCAAATTCACAAACCCAGAAGTCCCTCCAAATTTAGCATTTTTTTCCTTGTTCCCTTTGAAGCCTCGCTAGGCTTTGTCATTTCCTCTCACTTATTTCTCCCCTCAAAATCTACTCTCTCCACACATAAATGTGTGTCACTAGGACTAATGTAAGGAGAAAAGGTATTCTAATAATTCCTCTCTCTTTGGCAGGCAGTACAGACTGTACAGAGAACGTAGTTAGGAAAAGAAGTGAGATTTTGTACTAGGAACGGAACTCTCAGGGAAACAGCTTGAACACATTAAGACCAATTAAATTGTAATTTATCAAGTGCCAAAATAAGCTAAAAGGCATTCATCTTACATTGAGGGAAAAGTCTGAGTGCAGCACAGAACCTGAAATTACATAACAGCTGAGGGTTTTTTGTTTGTTTTTGTTTGGTTTCTTTTTTTTTGATTTTTTTTTTTTAATGCACGTACAAGGCTTCTCTGTTGGCGTTAACACCCTACATCTTTCCTATTTACAAGATGCTCAGTGCATATACATGGCCCTGGTGGGCCAGCCAGAGTGTCTTGACTGAACCAAGCACCCCCCTGGCTCAGACAAAATACCCAGTCTGACTCTGTCCCCCATCTCCAGGGGCAGCCGTAACCAGAGTCACCAGAGTCCTGGGGAAGTGGTGAGGAAATGGAGGAGAGGAAACCAACACAGAGTACTTGGCGCTTTTCTTCTCACCCCCAAAACATATGAGTCACAGTTTTTCTACATTTTGCAGCAAACAACTCCCTACCCTAGAGGTAATATCTACAGGTTTGTTGGTTCTGAATATTCTTCTTCTTTTCTAACTTCTCTCCATAGCTTTGAATAGAGAGGCAGCATGCACATCATGCAGTAGCAAGCAATTCCAGAGCTGACTTGCATAGTGGACAAAGTGCAATTTCCTTCTCTTTTTCAGCTACTACCTGCCTGCTTTACCAGATAATTTTCCTCTTAGAAACATGAGGTGACACTAAACAGTAACAGATTCCTCACACACCTGATGATTTTGTAGGCTTCTAATGTTATCATCTGGCCACTGTCTCCTTGCCAACTTAGAAAATCTGTTTTATACTAGTTGTGCTTTGCCCAGAAACTGTTCTGTGCCCTTCTCTGAGCCTTCTTTAATTCTACTCTTACTTTTCCACCCTCCCCGCCTTCTCTCTGAGAAAAGGGACCCAGAGCTGTGCACTGTATTCAAGACACAAACACACCACTGATTTAAGGAATGGTATGATGACATTTTCATCTCTATCTTTTCACAGCTACTTCTAATATACATATTCTTTTTGGACTGCTATTAAGCACTGAGATGATTTTTTTTCCAATCAAATTATTGCTTCTAATTTCAAGACCCCTTTCTAGCCTGGCAAAGGCCAGCTCAAAACATTTTGCAAGCATTTACCCCCAATCTCATCCACCATTTTAATGGCCACTCTGCTCTCTGTTCTAAACCATTTATGACTGCAATGATTCCTGTGGGGACCACAGAAATCTCTGTGGAAATCTACAGGTGATTTCCCACTGCTATGAGAACAGACCACGCTACTGAGACTGTTACCTCTATTATCTTCATAAACTCCCTTTGGGCAGCTGTGGGCTGATATTAGATTGTTTCTAAGCCTTCTCTTCAAGAGGACTCACTTTACAGAAAACCCTTCATAGTCTTATTGTGTCTTTTATCCAGTGACCTTTCTGGCCATGGATATCCATTTTTTTTTAACCCTTTCAATTTAAACAGAGCCCCCATGAATACTTTCAAATGCTTAATATCAAATTAGACAACTTCAAATCTTCAGCTGAGAGATCCTTTTAAGCAAGAGGCTGCACACTACAGTCTGTAGCTGCTCTACTTCATCCTTCAGTTCCTTAAAGCCTTGGGTGAGTTGCACCTAATCCTAGTAAATGAGGAATGTTTAGTTTGCTCCATGAACTCTCCTACAAACGCTTCCAGTGGACAAAGACAACTCAAGAAGTCAACCCAAGAATGCAGGTTCCAAAACAAGACTTAGCCTAAACACTTCAAGGGGAAACAGAGATGCACACAAAACTTAAATATTTCATTTTCTCCTCTAGCATTATCTTAGATTTCTTAGATTGTTTTTTCTCCATAGCACATAAGCCCCACAAACTCTCTTCACCAGACCTCCTGTTATCTGTTTTTTTTTAAAGCTTTGATTACATCGACTATTAATTTCATTAATTTTAATCTGATTTTTTTTATATATGTACTTTTTCATATCTATTTTCATCCTTTGGATATAGCCTCAGCTTTTGTAAAGAGTGTCTTCTTGCTTTCCCTAGTCCCCTGCATCTTGTCATTGTCATCTGGACTTCAGCAAGGCTTTCAACACCATCCCTCACAACATCCTCCTGGGCAAGCTCCAGGGGTTGGATTGGGATGGTAAGGTAGATTGAGAACTGACTGCATGGCAGAGCTCAGAGCGTGGTGATCAGTGGCACAGAGTTTAGTTGGAGGCCTGTAATTAGTGGTGTCCCCCAGAGGTCAGTCCTCGGTCTGGTCCTGTTCAATTTATTCATCAATGACCTGGATGAAGGGATGGAGGGCCCCTTCAGCAAGTTTGCTGATGATACAAAACCAGGAGGAATAGCTGATACCCCAAAGGGCTGTGCCACCATCCACAGACACCTGGACAGATCGGACAACTGGATAGTGAGAAATCTCATGAAGTTCAACAAGGGAAAGTGCAGAGTCATGCACTTGGGGAGGAATAGGCTCAGGACAGGACAGGCTGGGGACTGACCTTCTGGAGAGCAGCCCCACAGAGAGGGACCTGGGTGTCGTGGTGGATGACAAGATGACCATGAGGCAGCAGTGTGCCCTGGTGGCCAAGAAGGCCAACGGGATCCTGAGGTTCATTAAGAGGAGCATCTCCAGCAGGTCGAGGGAGGTGATCATCCCCCTCTACACAGCCCTGGTGAGACCACATCTGGAGACTGTGTCCAGTTCTGGGCTCCCCAGTACAAGAGGGATGTGGAGCTGCTGGAGAGAGTCCAGCGCAGGGCTACSAGGATGATCAGGGGCCTGGAACATCTGCCCTATGAGCAAAGGCTGAGAGAGCTGGGCCTGTTCAGCCTGGAGAAGAGAAGGCTGAGGGGGGACCTGATCAGTGTCTATAAACACCTCAAGGGAGGCAGTGAGGGGGAGGGGGGCATCGTTTCAGTGGTGGCCAGCGATAGGACTAGAGGAAATGGCCACAAACTGAAGCACCAMAAGTTCTRCAGGAASTTAAGGAAAAAATTCTTGACAGTGAGGGTGACAGAGCCCTGGAACAGGCTGCCCAGAGAGGCTGAGGAGTCTTCTTCTCTGGAGATCTTTGGGAGCTGGACTAGCTGATCTCTAGAGGTCCCTTCCAACCTCAAGGATTCTATGATTTTGCTCTACTGGCTCTACGTCTTTTATACGCTGAGGGTAAGCAACAGCACCCTTAAAATAGCATCTAGGCCACCTGCATCCTCACTTTTAGCCAGTTTCCCTTTTTGAAGTGGGACATAATTTGAGAGCAAGGAGAAAAAAAAGAATGACAATTTCCTGTTTTCTTGCATTCCTCCTATTTCCAGGCAAGACAGACAGAATAGCTGCAGAGACCCAAAAAGCTGTCTCTCTACCATTTTTTTTCTTCCCCCCAAATAGCATCTTACAATCTGCTCTTGGCAATACTGAGTAAAATACAGTTTCCTACCTACCTGTTAGGCATCATCGCTCTGTAATGATCTACTGCCTCTGGTCTGTGCCTGCGCACAGCCAAGCGCAACAGGGTCCAGGATTCCTCACATCAGCTCCTAGGTCATAAGGAAACAAAGAGATAATAAAAAATAAAAAGAATGGTTAGGTTAAATCCACGAGACATAAATTTGAAGAAAAAACATCTCTACATTTCCCCTGTTGCCCTAACCACTCTTCAGATTAAACAGGTGTCCAGCACAGGATGAAATATGGGCCTGAGTGAAATCCTCGACAAAATTCAGGCAGGCAGAACTTCAGTGTTTGCTCACCTTACTAAGATCTCAAAACAATAAAATAAAGTAAAAGTAAAAATAGCATCTTTAAGAACACTTCAAGATGTAAGCCCATTGTAAGAACCAAAGATAAAAACATTTCAAACATCTAAATATATATATATTATTTTTCATTTTTGAAACAGAAAACATGCAGTTGATAACCAATTGTTATCTTACTTGGAAAAGCAAGGCAAGTGTCATGCAGCAGCAAGACACACTTCAACAAAAACATCACAAGTGAGGAATAGAAATAGTCTAACCTAATTCAAGCATTCGTGTCTTTGATACAGAAAGGTTTTGGCATACAACCAGGACACTAACAAGGACGGTTTCACCCTTGAACCTAATCAAAGGCATGAGGCTGCCAGAAGTCACTGTTTACTCATTCACATAAAGGTGACTGAAAGCACTCACATTTTGTTTTGCCAATGCTTTTCTGACTTGCGAATGTGTCAAGAAAACTAGTGAAACAGTCTTTCATAGAAGCACTTTGTACCAAACAAACTTCTTACATGCAGGAAGAAGCCTATGGGAGAGCCAAGGAAGAGATCTACATTTACCTCGCCACATTTTTTTTTTTCACCAGCGCTCTGAACATTAACACAAACTATTTGAGGTTTTTTTTTTTTTTTTTTTTTTTTTTTAACATTTCCGTCCTTCTAAACTCCAAATTCATATCCTATACACACACAAGGACACACTGCCTTCCACTCAATCTGACAGTCTCCACAACCCAGGGAATGAAGCTAAAGGAGGGAAGCTCATCCTGAACTGCAGAACATCTGGACACTAGCTGAAGCTTAGTATTGCTGCAAAACCAATGCATTCACCTTCTCTTTGCATCCAACCTTCAGATAACCACAGGCATCATGTCTCTAAAATAATCCAGTGACGTATAAATATGCTCGCTACACAAGAGAAAGAAATTGAATTTTTAGGCTTTGAAATATTGCATGAAGGCTATATACCTCCCCCTATTTTTATTTTTTTTTTTAATATAAATAAGCCTTGTAATATCAGTGCTGTCTGCATGCATGTCAACTCTCCCACTGTCCCCTCACCACTCTTTTCAAGGTTTGAACTTCTGCATAAAAGTCTCAACTTTTACTCTAGCAATGCGTTTAATCTAAACAATTACATAAACACAGCTTGAAAGCAAAGTCTGAATTTGCCTTAGTGATGTTGGCAGAACACACACAGAGAAACAAAAAGCAAAGTTTGGGATTCTGCAAGTTCAGGTCTTGCCTGCCTTGCAGCTCTTAATACAGCTCGCCTGCTGTACCAAGGAGGAGCGCCAGCCCTCACAGCTTGCACCACACACACACTGTGACTTGAGTCAGAACATCCTGAAAAAGGGATGTTGCTGATGATCATGGCCTGAAGCTAACAGCTTCAGAGGCTTAGGGAGAAGCGGGTGGGTTGCCCACGTCAGTGCTCCCACTCTTTAGCACAACACAGAAGAACCACTGAGCACGCAGAAATTAACACAGAAATAGCTTATGTTTCTTTCTATTTCCACATTTAAGAGCTCCTTGAATAAGGAAGGAGATATCATCAGATGCAATTTGCTGGAATAAAGAGAAGTGGAAAGACGGCAATGATTAAAGCTAAAATCGAGCCCCAAAGAACATAAAAGAAATAGGAATGCCATTCCATACTGCATTTGATTTATATGTGCTTTCAAAGCACAATATGCTTTTGAGCAAAATAAGTGTGGGGGAAAAAAAAAAAAACACATCTAAATTTTTAGGAGAAAAAAAAATACAGAGAGAATGAACCGTGTTCTCCTCCATGTCCCAGAAGCCACCACTGGAAACATCCCAGAATCCATCAACACACTCATAGCTCCCAAAGACACCAAGACTCTTAAACACGAACTCCCAAATAGAAGGCCAAAGTATTGAGTGGTACCAACACTGCCTTATTTATACTCAGGGCTACAAGCTGTTATCATGGATGTGTCTTCTGGATCAACTCAGAAATCACACCTGGACTAAACAGGAGCAGTGCCAAACACCCAGGCATTGGAAATACTCTTGCTTTGTTGCCCCAATCATTATGAAGCTCAGATAACCACATACATGTATACATCCTCTTGTAGGCAGATCACACAGGCAACAGGTTCAACTCATCCTGACTTTCTCAGACTTATGGCACATACAGAGTAAATCTAACATAATCAGAACATAGCAAGCTTGGTCCTCCTAAGAGTTCCGTGAAACAAACCCACTACATATACTGTAACATGCGCCAGTTCACAGGAATATGAGAGTTAGTCATAGTCGTTATGCTGATATAGCACTTGTTCCCTTCTTCCAGTTCTGCTGGAGGACAAAGGTTTGATAAGGAAAAATCAAATTCCTCAGTTATCCACAGCTTCAATTGCAGTATCTCTTTATTGTCTGTTGAGCCATGAGCCACAAATGCAGATACTGCTATCACGGAAATCATAGGACAAAATATGTGAAGTGACCAATCAGAGCTCTCTGCCTGGAAATTACCAAACTGAATGACATAACATTTACTAGGTTTTGCAGGACTAATAAAAGTCTGCTTAAAGCTGCTGAACTTATCCAACCTTCTCATACTCCATCTAGGCCAAAGTGACAAGACATAGTAGTATAAATTTAACCATCATAGATCTCTAGTCCAAAAGCATTGCTTAAGGAATCTCCATTCTCCTCCGAAAGACATTACTGTGCTGCTTCTATCTATTCTACCTCTTTAACCCGTAAGGAAGGAGGGAAAAAAAAAAAAAAAAAAAAAAGCAGCATCCTCAACATTATTGCATTCACTCTGATACTCTGATAAGAGAAGCTGCCTATGGAACGTGGAGTTATCTCTCTTCTGGAATTCTACCTAATTTTGGGTCCTAACTGATTCTGGAAACTAATATTGAAAGCTGATGAAGCACATAAATCTTGTGTTGTGTGAGATTTAAATTCTTCAGCAATTTAGGAAGGACAAACCAGAAAACCCTATAGTATATGCATTAGCTTGAGCAAAATTCCAAAGATTTATTCATGCTCTTTCATTAACCAGAATACTGCTGCTTTATTTTTCAAACAGGGCAAGTAAGTTAAGCATGGTCCAAACAAAAGTGAGGACATCACCCAAGAGAAATGCTCACCAAAAGTATTTTTAGATATGCCTCAAAATACTCAAAAAAACCCCATTACATTTTATCTGATAGTTTGAAAGACTCACTAATTTTTGCAAAAGATTTTTAAAATATTCAAATGAAACTTCGATCACTCATATCTTTCAGAAGAAAAAAAACTATCTACTGGGCGTTTTCCTTTGTCTTCTTACCAACTATTCTGCATATTCTAAATTATTTCTTTTCTAAACCACAGGATAGCAGCTGGTGCATTTCCTAAAGCACACTTAATTCAGACACATCTGCTTCCTAGTGGACCAAGGAGGATGCTTGGTGTTATAAAGCCTGGACTGTATTCCTGGCTAAACAAGCTAGTTGTAGCGCAGCCGTGCTTTGTCCCTCTTTCACCATTATCCAATGGGAAGGCTACACACAGCTGTTTCAGAGCTGGCATTCTCATATACCCCAGTTGGCTTGAATAAGGTGCAAGTTTTAAAATATCTCAGTGAGCTGCACTGTTCAAACTGCAGTTCCTATTGAGGGTGACAATTTCTGGAAAAGCCACTTGATGGTTGCTTTCTCGCAATCAGAACCCAGCTGCCTTCTGCAGAAATGGGACTGAACAGATTCACACAGGTACTGCAGATGCCAAAAAATAATGAAAAGACTGATCCTGAACATTGCAGCTGCTGCGAATGTGCATTACCTAACAATGCAGAAAGTATTACAGCCGTGATTGCCTTCAGCATGCATCACTTCAGCCAAAAAAAGAAAAAAAAAAAAAAGTCTGGTAGAATTCAAGATGATAGTCTGAAAAAGAAAATAACTCGCTGCATATAGCTTGAGGTTATGAGGAAAGCATCTGCTAATATGCAGCAGGCTCCCATAATTGTGCAGCTGAAGTAATAATACCCCAGCAAAATGCCATTAAAATGTTCAGTGTTTAACAACTGTGCCAATTTTCATGCATGTCAGTTCCTTCCACAAGCTGGCTCATCCACTTCAGTAATCTAAATGCTCCAAAACAATTTTAAGAAGTCATATCTACTACACTTTAAAGACAGGAAGCCAAGTTTAGGTAAGCCTATTAATTTTAATGGTGATACATCAAGGGGAAAAAAAAAATCCAGAATCTGATTTTGGAAATGAGGAGAGATGTTTTAAATACTATGAAGGTTTAAGTCCTCTCAATGCTGCACATTATGAGCTGACAGGTTTCACCACTATCCCTACCAAGCTGCCTCACTGTCTCCTCTGCCTGCTGCATGAAGCTGAAAGCTGTTTTGCTTGCCAAGAGGGCTGGGGAAGTAGCAAGGTAGCCACAAGGTGGTTGCAATCTGGAACTATTCCACCAGCTCTCTGACATATGCTGAAATATTTCTCCAGGCCAAATACTTTCCCCACCAGCAGCAGAGGCCTCCGAAGCCCTGGCACTCCTCTCACACGCCACCCCTGCAACCCAACCTATGTGCGTGCTACAACATCCCAGGTTATTTGCAGCGCTCAAGCGATTGCAAATGCCTCGGGCAAAGCAAAGATTCGGAGGTAAACACTTCAGTCCTGGGCATCATCCCAGTGAGGGCATGCAAGGTAAGAGCTGCCAAGCTCCTCCTCAAGCCGCAGATTGGAACATAGTACTATGTTTTGTTTCTTTTATTGCTAAGAAAACCAGGGTAGGCAT